ATTAGTTGTATTGCAGTGTAGATAATGAAAAGCCCAGGACAATACAAAAACAGGAGTTCAAGAAAAGCAGTGTAGTCTAGCAGGTCAGCATAAAACTGAGTCTTGGGAGTTGCAAATGCCTCCTCAAAGGAGCTACCTTGACTTCTCTCTGCAAGGTCTGTGACTAAAGCAGTTTCAGGCTAAAACTAGATGGTATCACACCTTTCATGGATGGAGAAAAGGAATGGAATTGCCTAGCCAATTAGCCTAATCTATCTTTTTCTCTACTTTCTCTGTTTTGCATAGCCACAGTATTAACCAGCAGTTCACTGCTAATCCCCAGTGCTACAAAGAAGAAAAGAATCCATTTGTGTATTACAGTGTAATCATAATATCTGCTAATTTCCTTCCATACACTACAGGCTTCTTTTGAAAGTAGATTGCTGGCATTATCCCCATTTTATAAATGAAGAGATTTACAGTACAGCAAAATGGTTTCTCAGGAGCTGAAAGTTTCTGATAAAGTAGAGCCTGATATCAATGTAAGTGATAAAGTAGAGCATAAAATGCAGATCTCTTAAATTCTCAGACCAGTTCACTGCCTGCAAGCTTCAGTGCTCGCTCAGATCTGGGATTATGTATGAAGTTTGCAGCAACTCTTTTTCTCCTGCATTTCTAAGTCATTTATTTTTGGATTTTCTTAATAACACCACACAGTACAGAGAGTAATTATAAATTTGTTTTAAGGACGCAATAAGGACTTTTTAGCAAAGGTATAAAATAAGGTTGAATGCAAAGAAAGTGGTACCACTGTGCTTTTTTTGTCATGGTATCAATTTTGTGCTTTCAGAGAGTGAGACATTAAGTCTCTATGAATTTGTAAAAGGTTCAAAAACATTCCTCTAACCTTCCTAACTCTTCATAACACATGGGTGCATGTATCTGTTGATAGTCCATTTCACACAAATGCCATGCCCCAGTGCTGGCCATATCTCCCCTCCTCTTCCAATAAGTGACAATACTGTGGCAAAAGGTGAGAGAATAGGGCTTTTTGTTCCTTATGAAGGTCAACTGTAAGACCTCCTTGCTTGTTTCATTCCTTACAGGCAAGGTTTTCTGAGAGATTGGAACCAAGTTCTTACAAGAGGATTTTTAATCTTCACTGGTATGATTCAGAATATACCTTAAAAGACAGATAACAAATTAAAGTGCTAATGTGGAACACATTTACCTGCTGTTCCCACCACAAAGAAAGTAAACTGGAGGAGAAAAACTGAAATTACTGTCTTATAAACAGTGAAATTTCATAAGGAGAAAATAAAAATTTGAAAATATTCCCAAATTTCTTCTTCTTTCACTTAGATTTTAAATGCCGTTTGTTAAGTGGATTCTCTATCCAAAGCTTGTTGGTTTTAGATCCTTTCCTGGGAACTCTTATCTCCCTACGCATATTCTGTTAACATAGTTGAGGACACTGCTTTCCCAGGCCTCAGTATTCTTGGGCTTCTTAAACTGTACACCTATCAAAACTTAGGATTAGTTTAAAATTAAGCAGGTGTTTTTCTAGTAGATTTTCTCTTGCAGTTACTCAGCAGTTTTTTTTGTTTTTTTTTTTTCCCTAAAGAAAGGCTAATATCTAAGTTAGATCTTTACTCCCACTAAGTACTCCCACTAAGAAGTAGCTCTGCAAGATTGCACTGTCCCGCAAAGGTGGTGGACAATATCAAGCTCATTGCCTCAAGATATAAAGCTGTTTTTTTTAAAATGTCCTCTGGAGACCCAGGCAATAGAATACCTGAAACCATCTTTCTGTGTTTAGTTGCCCTGAGTTGACTGAGCAAAGCCTTTCAGCAGCTCTGCCTGGCCCGCAGATTTAAAGAGCCCTTTTGTTTTTGTGGCCGCTGCTGACTATTGAGCATGATGATCCGTGACTAACAGTGCTGGATGTGTATAGCAGCCACAAAGAGAATACCCTTGTCATGCAGCAAAGCATATACTGAAGTGACATCTTGCAGCTATGCTGCCTTGGACAATCGAATGGTCATTGGTATCCCAGGGTGAAAATGTGTCCCTGTGTATTTGAGGTGTGGGAAACATTAAGACATGTCATCTATCAAAGCTGTCTAGGCAAGCTGACTGAGAAGGCCTAGGTAAGGCACACAAGGAATATCGAAATACTTTCTCAATTTGGCAGCTTCATGAACATGAGACCTTCCCTACAAGCTTGAAAACTGAGATTAATTACTTAACTCTTCGTAGACTTAAATTTGGTGCCTACTCCTATGCTCAGCTGTTCTCATGCAATACTGTTAATTTGAACATTTTACAAGAACATTTAAAGTTTATTTACAGAAACATCCAGAAATCTTCATTTTAGATGTACATGGAGAGTTGATTGCTTTTTCCATAACTGGGATTACAACTATGTTCTTTTATAAAGCTATTATTAGTAGCAATATTATCACAGCCGTAGCTCCCAGGACTGACTGAGCTTAGAAATGACTCCATTTCTTTCAAAGACTAAGATGAGCTTTTATGACAAGTTTCAAGGCAACTAACCTATCCATGTTTTAGGCCTGGTTTTGGCCTCACTGTTGCTCTTTTTTCACATGGACTGGCTCCATCATGGCCACTATCACCCACTGCCACCCTTTGAAATGTTCCAAGTAGCTACATTTCCTTGAAAGCTTGCATGTAATCAGATATGAAGAAAACAAGTTGTAAATGATTAAGGTTACTAGTATTCATTCTGTATAAATTAGCATGGAGTGTTAAGCTGAAATACTATACTTCTATTCGTGTAAGATATGTGCAAGTGTATATGCTATGTAAACTCAGTTGTTTGCCGTTTGCTCAGAGAGAATAAAAAGATCTGTGTTTAATCAGTGTAAAGCAAAAGGAAGCACTCTAGCAGATGGTGCTATAACTTTCTTGTGAGTTATGATCCAAGACTGAGACTCAGTTTTACAGGGCTGTCTATTCTTTCTGCTAACAGTGCTATTTTTCTTTGCAGTGATCTTTCATAATGAAACAATTTCTGAAGGCCTTATGCCCTGCAGATTTTTTGTAAGCATGTAGCTGACAGAGTGGAAAGTGGACTATAGCACAGTAATACAGGAGAGATGAAGCAACTGGTGAAACTGCTCATGAGCTTGAAGATCTTGTAATTGAAGCTTGATTCTTTTATTCTGTGTATCATCCTTGATTTGTGTATATGACATTCCCTTAGCAGGATTGGGACTATGAAATCTATGGAAGACAAATAAGAGTGGAGCAGAGCGAAGTGTGAGACAGATGACATCCCCCTGTAGGAGAGTTTCTGAGTTTGTGGGACCTGGGACAGATGAAGAAAAGAGCTGGTTGCAGGGTCTGCATTGACAATAAATGCAGAGGCATTATAATCATCAGCAGCAGACCTTCCATGAAGATTTTCAGTATGTCTCCACTTGCAGATCATCTGGAAAATGTGAGAATATGTGCCAGATAGAAATAGATGAAATAGGTGTCCTATTGTTACACTTATTCCCAGGCCTGATAATACTATGGTGAACTATAATAACAACTGGTAGAAGGGAAAAATAGAGTAACACACGGGAACAATAAGTGCTGTGGTCTGTGGATTTTAGTTATGAAGATGGTACAAAACTGTTCCTTGAACAATTCAGTAGTGTGCAGGCGTGGCCCCCATGCTGTTGTGCCAGCTGTGTGTTGTTGTCAGAGCCACACAGAGAGGAGGACAATTAGAAATGACTTGAGACCAGCCACTGTGGCTATTAGTAGTCATTTTAGCTATAGTTCCCAGCAGTTTCCAAGAGGGCTGCTTTATGTCCTCTCATCTCATACTGAATAGTTCATCCGTGTTTGAGCAGAACATCTCTATTATGATGATAAATGTGTCAGGGATCTCAAATATAACATTGAGTAAATCTGCCAGGTTTATCCTCCAAGTTTTTCTCATCAATATTACTTTTACCTGCAGAATTTTTTTGTTTGTTTCTGTGTTTGCTTTTTAAAATTGAAATAGAACATTGCCTGTGGCCAGGCGGGTGTGATTTTAAGTGCAGTCTAAGTAAGTCTAAGTGCAGGAATGCACAGATGCAGAGATCAGATATTCACCTTTGTAGTGCCCTGATGCTGCTTCTCTGTGCAGGTGTGTTCCCTCCCACTGCACTGAGAGGTCCCTGGAGTGTTGTAATGTGTGCTATCTGTGAATGTTGTTTGAGGCTAGGAAATCCTGGCACTTCCAGGAGTATGCCTTTTTCCTATGGCCATGCCTTACCTTCCCAGTTACACTCATGCCAGCTTGCTCTGTGTTGCACATTGTTGCCTGTGCTAAAGATCTGCATCTCTAAGTCAGAATAGATTGTTTCTAATTTCAGCTATTTTCTCTCTCTCGAGCCTGTAATTATGTAGCAGTAAAGAGAAAAAAAAGGCAAGGGGCACCTCTGCTTTTTTTCTCAGCCACTGAGAATGCCAATATTTCTTTTTCTCTGAAGCAGGAGAGGCTGCCTGCCCTGCATTCTCAAGGAACGCTAAAACTAAATGTAGCCTCTTGTCTTCACAAGGTAAGCAACCTACCAGAGTTATACAGTACACGTTCAGGCACGCACGAAGTGCTGTCATGACTGCCAGGTTCAGACTTAGGAAATGCAATGGTCATTTGCACACTCAGAAAGAACCGCTCTTGGTAGGCATGTACTTTTATTCTGAATTATTTGTTCAGGTTTAAATGTATTTAAGATCAGTACAAGAAAGGAGAGAAAAGGAGCAGACTGCTTTGCTTTGGTTTTCCTTACTCCCTTTGTTGTACATTTGAGAGTTGGCCTTCAAAACTTCTGTATTCCTGAATACTGGGTTGTTGGACCCACAAGAACCAGGAAGTTTGAGTGCTTGTTTGAATTTTATGGCTCTGAGTCCTTCCTGCCAGTTCACACACTGTTCCCATGACTGTTCTCTTGTTTCCTCATTTTCCTCATTAACATATTTTTTATCTTCTTTTTTTTTTTTTTTTCTTCTTAAAGGATGATTCCTGCTACAAACAAAGCATTTGTCGTAAACAACCTTGTTTCTGGAACAGGCTATGACCTCTGTGTTCTGGCAATGTGGGATGACACCGCCACTACTCTTACTGCCACCAATATTGTAGGGTGCGCCCAATTCTTCACCAAAGAAGACTACCCTCAGTGCCAGTCGATGCACAGCCATTTCCTGGGTGGGACCATGATTCTGATCATTGGGGGCATCATTGTGGCAACTCTGTTGGTGTTCATTGTAATACTGATGGTCCGCTACAAGGTCTGCAACAACTCCCAAGGGAAGATGTCCAACGTCAGCAACGTCTACTCACAGACAAATGGAGCACAACCGGTTCAAAATGGAGTCCTGCCCCAAGTCAACCCCAAAGTGGTGGTGAGAAACGAACTTATGGAGTTTAACTCTGGGTCTGTGAGAAGCAGCATCTCCTCTTCTTCCAGCTCTATGAATAGCCGTGACTGTGATAACTATAGCCTCCAAAGTGAACAGGGCACATTGTCCAGTAAGTGGAGGCCCCCCTCGAGGTCAAAACACAACATTGACCGTCTAATGGGAGCTTTTGCCTCCCTGGAACTGAAATGTCAGAAAAAGGAGGAGACGACAGACTCCAGAACTTCCACGGCGGCCCGCCATTCAGACAAAGAACCACTGCTGGGCCAGCCGGAGTCCAAATTTCGCAGCCTCCTCATGTTACCTCTGGAGGGCAAAACTAAACGTAGCCATTCTTTTGACATGGGGGACTTTGCTACATCTCAGTGTTGTACCTACCCAAAAAAGATAACGAACATTTGGACAAAGAGGAGCCTCTCGGTGAATGGCATGCTTTTACAGTACGATGACAATGACCTAACAGGGGCAAAAGGGACTTACGGGAGTTCAGAGTGGGTAATGGAAAGCACAGTGTAAATATCAAAGTCTCCCCCCATCTTCTCTACTCATGTGTTATATATTGTGGTTTGCTGCAGTAGCATGCTGCTGCTGCATTTGGAAAGAGAGGGGAGGAAATGTTTTCAGTTGTACTGGCAAAACAGATAGGTAAATAAATAAGTAATTGGGATGCTGAAAGAGAAAGAAGGTCTTGCAATGTGAATAGGCACATATGGTACCGTTCCTGTTGGTCCCCAGCTGAAACGTGTGAATGTTTCAAGAAATTTACTGTTGTATTTATCATTGCTTTCCAAAAGTTTTTCACATTCTTGGTGAACTGTCAAACAAGATTAAACAGAGGATGAAAAGGGGCTTAAGAGCATAAATTTAACTTTAAAGATTTTCTTTTTTTATATAAGAGCAACTCTTTTATCCACAGAAATGCACTTCTGTGGATGTAAGACTGGTGCTAGGATGCATCTGGTTATTATTGCGAATGACTTTCTCAGATGCACAGGCAGGGCATCTGCAGGGACAGATTAAAGCAAATTGTTTATCTTGTAGCGTTAACTGTGACATCTGGGAAAATAACAATACCTGTTGAGTGGGCTTTTGGTTTGGGATTTGCTGATTTTTTGTTTTGTTTTGCCTTGTGAGTGCTTCTGGGCTGTTTTGTTTTGATGGTTTCTGTTTTTTCTTTCCCAGCAGAAAGTCTGTTTCCATGTTTTCCATTTTTTGTTTAGTTTTCAGTCTCCCAGTAAATCCCCTGGATGGAAAGGAGGATCTGTAAAAAGGTCAAATTTCTGAAGTTCTGTATAACCCACCTCTGATACTACCACTTCATGTCCTAGAAAAATTAAAATCCAGGGCCTGATAAGTTTTTAAAAAGTCCTCCTCTTCTATCTTCTTCATATTCTCTGCTTGTCAGGGCTTAAGGCAGATTGTAGCAACTATTGGTATCTCTGGGGGTTTTGCTAACAAAGATGCAAAAAGTTGTTATCAAGACTTCATAGTAAAGGAAAAAGAAAGGGAAAACCAAAGTGTCTCCCATAAACAGTCTACATTATGAATGCCAGTTGCTTCTGGCAAAGGTCACATTGTCACTCTCTACTCAGCTGACAAAGAGAACACAGTTTTCCACCCTAATGTGACAAAAGCTCCTTCTACAGTCTCCATGACACAGCTTGACTGTACCACTAGCATCACATGAAATGTAAGTTTTTATGTGTTTCAGGGGATTGGATATGTTCCCAATTAGCCACATAAAAAGAGTTAAATTTGAGTGTCAGGACAAGGAGTCTCCCATGTGTCCCCTGCACACAAACAGCCTTTCCTATGTACCCAAGCACCCCTGTCCCTCACCCTAACCTATTTGTTAACTAAGAACATAAGCTTTTCAGTGCTTGTAAACTGATTCTCAGATTCCTTGTTGGGGAGCATTTCTGTGGTTTTGGAAATGCCCATGGTCCATTGCCGTCGGTGACTTTATTGTCCTCGGTGACTAGACTGTGATTTCCAGCATTCTGGTGGCTACTGCAACTGTCTTTGTTTATTAATTTGTTGGCTGCCAATGATCAGCTGCTGGGAACCATTCTGAAATTGCACATAGTTCCTATGATTTTGTAAAAGATGTGGGGAAAGGGTCAGGGCACAGAGCAAATAACACATGAAAAAAACTCTATGTATATTTTTTTTAAAGGTGCAGAGATATATTGTGACATGGCTGTGTACTTGATCTTGTATTTGTCATGTTTCCTACTTGGAGTTTTAGAAATGACATCCCTGTGATCGGAATATTTTTTTCTTTTTCTTTTTCTTTTTTTTTTTTTTTTTGCTACAAAATGTACAGTAAAAATATTCTTGGGGAAAAGTACCTGCTTTTCATTTATTTGCTGTTCTGCGGTCTTCTATGAAACCTAAACAAGGAGCGGTGATCATTTAAAAAAAGGTCTTAAAAATATGTTTGCTTTCTCTCTCCTGTAAACTATCTTTGCCTTCAGGGTTTTACATATATAAAGTAGGAATCCCATAATACAGACTCTTTTGGAATACAATCTCCTTTTTAGAGAAAAGATCTTTTAAAAAGGCATCTCACCTTTTTTTTTTTTTTCCCTGTGGTCACATTTGTACACATTTATATCACTAATATAGAGAACAGTGATCTCTGCCCTGATCCAAAACATGAAGAAGTAAGAGGAAACCTTTTTGATGGCTTTGCAAGCTTTTTCTCATAGCCAACTTTAATATATTCAAAAGAGATTCAGTAAAACTTTGTTTGCAACATCTTTCAAAGTCTGATTTTCTTGTGCTTTCCAAGAGGAATGGCACCTCTATTGCCAGAATCTACATTATCCAACTGTCCAGATGGCAGCTTCCTATTAACGACATTTACATTAAAGAGGTTCATGTATTGATTTTTCTTTTCCTTATTACGCTGTGGTGCGGTTCAACTACAGTTTATCATGATGCTGCTTCCCTTTGGGCATGATGTTTGGGTTGTTTTTAATTTAGCTGTTGAGTTCATCATCAGGATTAGTAGCATATGCAGTCATGAATTTTCAAAAGCAGTATCTTACACTCTTTATTAAAAAGCAAAGCATCTATTTCACTTTCTCACATAGGATTACAGTATGTCAACAGATGCTGCTTTAAAATAATGGATAGCTGCCAAAGAACCCAGGTAATAAAGTGCACAATCTAACAGCTGTATTTATTACTGTTAATCATGATTTCAATTCATTTAGTTTTAATGGATGAGGCTTGATCCATATCAGCATATTTGCACACTGTGAGCAAAATGAAATGAATGCCCAACAATTGTTGCCTTTGGTACTCACAACATTTGGGACGAACACGACCAAAGAAGTTGTTCATGAGGCAGGGAGCCACACAACAAATGAGCAAGTGAACAGCCCTGGGAGAAGGTTGGAACCAACCTGGCGTGATGGCGCCAGTGCTGAAGCATCTGATAGGGTAACAATGTCCATGTGTAACCAGCCATGGCCCTGCTCTCACAGCCATCAAGTCCTCTCAAATTAGCCTGCAGCTTCCCCTGTACAACTCTGAGTGTTTCAGCACTGCCAAAAACAATGCTTTTTGATTACATCCTGTAACCGTGCCCTAATTGCTAGTGCAGGACTGTGACCCCCAAGTTCCTCCCCCTCACATTCTTATCAAGCTCTTTCTGCTGGTATATTTGCCTCTGTTTCCACAGGTGCATCTCATTCAGCATCTCTGGATTTGATTATTTCTCTATATTGCTGTTGCGTGGTAGAGATATTTCTTGCTCCATTTCTGAGGGCAACTACACATCAGTCGCTACTAAAATTATATATATACACATACTCATTTTCTGAGCGCAATACATGTTTTCCATACCTGGTTGAGAAGCTGAGCTTCCTGTATCATAGTGAAAATATCATCCTAGTAAAAAAGATGACAAAACGGAAATTTCTGAAACATGATGAGATGGAGTGCACGTGACATGGCATTTGTTAGGAACCAAATGGTCAATTTGAGCATGAAATCTATGTGTGTGTATGTGTCTGTCTGTGTACATAAGGAATTGTAGCAAAGCAGACCATATTATTTGTGTCCTCCTTACAAATTTCATGACTTGGACAGTATTCCTTGTTTCAGATGTCTTTTCTGACTGCCAGCTCTACAGGACAGCAACTGATACGCTTTTCCCTTCCCCTTTGGGGAAGATGATCTATTTTTCCAATCTCCACCCAATTCCTGGCTACAGTTTTGATTAATTCATTCAAAAATCAATGCATAACAACAAAGCAATGAAAAGTATACTGGCTTTACATGATATAAGATTGAAAGGTTGTACCTTTCCCTTAGCTAAAGCTGTTCAAATCCCACACTATAAGATTGATTTGCTCTGGAAACAGAAGGAAATAGCGTTCCAAGAGACAGCTTGTTTCATTCACACACTACACCCAGCAAAGGGTTGCAAAGACATATGACCAAAAAGATCCCTTGGAGGTGTCTGAATAAGTGCAGTAAATGCAGCAGTGATTTAAACACTTTTGAACCTGTAAGCCAATGAATAATTCCATCTGATAAGGAAGAAAACGTTTTAGCCTTTGAATAGCTCAAATGTCACATCTGTTTCCAGCGCTCTGTAACCATTAACCCATGGGTAACACATAGCATACCATATGGTTCATGCAGCACACATCTTCTTGCAGTTTATTTCCAGAGAAATAAACTCAATGATTCTCTCTGCACTGTTTTCAGTGTTTACAGTTAACTACCTGGGCAATTGTGGAGTTGTAATAATAATGTAGATGCAAAATTAACAAGTAACATTATTAACATATTTTATGGTTCACTTTTAACAAAAACTGCCCTAAACACAGTCAGGGCATCCTGCCAAAAAGCATTAAATCTGATGTTAGGCTGTACGCCAGATGAAAAATAAATCTAAGAGTACCTTGACATTCTTGCTTTCAGTATAGGAATTTTGTGTTCTCCAGTATGTTTACCTACTCCTAATTAATTATTTGGTAATCCCCAAAGGTACAGCATTCCCTAGCATCAGCTGTCAAAAGGCCCTACTATATGAAACAGTGCCAGATGCTTATTTCCAGTATTACACTGCTAACAGATGGCAAATGCCACAGATATAAATATATAGAGAGATATAGATATAACAGCATGTTTTTGCATTTGTATTCATGCATACATGTTTATGTAAACACAAGCACACATGTCTATGTTTTGCTCTTTAACTTTATGGTTAGTTATACACAGATTTTCCTGTTTGGTAATGATGGAATTTCTTTTTTTTTTTTCTTTTAATGAAATACTAATGACTTGAAAAAGAGACCAAAAGCCTCCTATTTTAGGAAAATTAACTGATAATTTACATCTCATCCCAGCTGGTGGAGTTCAGTGCTTCAAAAGAACTTAAGGTGAGGGGTTTCATGTGACTGCAGCAGAGTCTCCTATGTTAGGGCACTTATTCACCCAATTCTTCCAACACATGCTATAAAAAGTGAGAATTTTTGTTTTGCAGGGAGACATAGGCAGCAACTGTTTTGTACTGTTCCTGGTTATGCTGACAAACTGATTCTTTTGTTGGCTGGCTTGGATTTTGGGAGGATCAGTCAGCTGCATCAGATGTTAAACTCAGTCATAAAAGGAGCCTGAACACAGAAACAGTGATATTCCACACCCTCCACTAGGAGAAAGTGCATTCTGGATTTACAATCCATGAACTTCAGTCTGCAAACACAAGAGGAGTGCTCCATTAATTACTTGTCAGATTGCAGGGTTGGTCATCACAGTTTGTTCTTGATGCTGTGTAGATCAGTAAAATAGGAGTCAGCCCCTGGCCGTGCCAGTACAGAAACAGGCATCAGACAATCTGCAGGGAAGGACAAGACCTGCAGCAGATGAGGATTTGTGCAAAAGTACATTTAACCTTAGGAGTAGAGACTTCCTGCACACTTGCCCACAAGATTCACATTACACCTGGAATGTACTGAATGGTCAGCCTTTGTAACACTGATTTTAAAAAAATTTCCACAATTTTGATGGGAGAATGTATGGGAACTGCTGAATCATAGCCTGAACTTCTGATTGATCACCTGTGGCAAGCAATGAGTCAGCCACAGGAGCACAGGTGAAGGCAATTCACCTGTACTGCCGGAAGGGGTGGAGCCTGGCTCCACCTCTCTTAGACCCATTTAAGAGCTGACTATCAGTGGGAAAGGATCTCATCTGGAGATCCCTCCTCTGGAGTTCTGCAGTAAGCCCAGGATGCAGGTAAGCTTTCTATCTATTCTCTTTTTGTTATTAGTATCTGCTTTGCTAAACTCTTTGGTTTATTTCATAGTTATAGCATCTATATATTCATTTACTGTACAGAGGGGAAGGAGAGAGAGAGGAAAAAAAAAACAACAAAAAAAACAAACAAACAAAAAAAAAAAAACAACAAAAAAAAACCATCATCACTGATAATGCCACCAAAGACATAGGGCTCATTTAGTCTTTCCAAACAAGTTTAAGTACTCCTCATCTTTATTGCTTGAAGCTTCTTAGTCTCACAAACCCAGAGAGTGCATCTAATTTTTACTACCTAGAGTTTTATCACATTCTTGGTTTTAGTCTAATCTCTTTTTCTACTGCCATATCCTTTTTTTTTTTTTTTCCCCCACTCCTTCTATGGTTCCTGGTAGTAGTTGTCCATGTAGAGCACACATGAGAGGTAAGCCCTCAGCTCCAGTGCTATTGTAGTATCAAGCTACTATGGGCAGGGGAAACCCATAGCTCTTAACTGTAGGCAGTTCAGTTGCTCTGTTACAAGGGTGATACATGTGTACTGAAAACACATGCAGGAGCTGTGAGGAGATGAAGAATGCATAATCTCCATGAATTTTTACTAACAAATTTAATGAGGTCTTTGTGGTGCATGTTTTCTGCAGGCTTTTGGCTAGAGCAGGTCTCTGTAATGTTCTTGAAGAATAACACAAGGCGCATCTAAGAGAATGTCCCACCACTTGCAAATTATCTAGGTTGAACTTCAAAGCACAAACACCACAAAAACAATTCATAAAGCATCTTATGCTCGCTGTCTCTGGTTTTGGTTTTTAATATAAGAAAAAGGAACTTTTTTTTTTTTTTTTCCCCCCCTTCTTTTTCTCTTACAATCAGCAGAATCATTTTGGCTGAAATTTTCCAAATAAAAGTTTGACAGAGCTCCAAGGGAATGTGCCAGACAATTCTAACAATGTTATACTGCCATGTTTGCCAATAATATTTGTCAAGCAATGATAAATTGAATGGATGCCTCTCATGATACATCTCAAGTTTCTTTCAATGGAACTAATTTATTTTTAAAGTGTTAATACTCCTATCCTCTTCTCAGCAATTAACAATTCAGAAATATTTTAATAACAAGCTGTTAATCACAAGATACTTGTCTGCACAGATTTAAAAAATAGACTCTGTTGTTTCAAGGATGTTGGCTGTCTTTGCCAATGTTATTGGTACATTGGTATGAAATATAGCATTTGATAAGACATAGGCAAGGCTGCATGCTGTGAAACATCTACTTTTTATCCTATGGTAATGAGGATGAAACAAATCCAGAGAGAGGATGTGTTAATCTTGCTTGCTTTGAACATGACTCAGAGATGTGAAACTTCAAATAACTAGGCCCACATATCTGATATAAAATGGCAGTCAGTGGGCTGACATGACCCAGATGTTATTGCAGCAGACAGATGCATGCTGGTCACTGCTGGAATAGGTGTCATACACAAAGGCTGGCCTAGATGAAGTGGGATTTCCAGAAAGGGACCACTGCACAGATCACAGCATGAACAGGAGACATGGTCATGTAAGAACACATTATACCTCACTAGTGTAATAGATTTCTCTATTTGAGTATCCTGTGATAGAATTTGGCACTGGTCACTTCAGGAAAACTCCCTAAATCTTTGCCTCAGAGCCTGAGAGACTAAGCCTTTATCCTAATCTCCATAAGGAAGCAAAGAACTTCTGAAATTCATACCCTGACAATCAAAACTGGAACAAAAGTGATTTTTGAATTGCTCTTCTTGTTTCAGAGCTTCTGCCTCTGAGCCTGTCAAACCTGACTTTGAGAAAAATCTCTTGTCAACTGGGAGGGCATTGTAGGGGAGTGGAAATGCACAGATGTGTGTTTGTGGAGATGATGGCAGAAGTCCTCATCTGCAAGAAGGCCAAAGTGCACCTCCTGTCTGTCTTAATATTTCACTGGAGACCAAATATACAGCAACAACAGAATCAGTAGCAACTATATCAAAGCAGAAAATGTGCTGTAAAACAGAAACAAATTAAAAACAAAGAAACAAGAGAAACCAACAGAAACCACCATCACCTCAAGAAGTACCTTTCTCATTTGATTTTGAGAAACAAAAGACCAACCATTTTCTCTTCCATTCAAATACTGCTCTGGATATAATGCAAAATTTGAATAGAAGAACAATTTCATCTTCCAGGATACTTCATTGCACTGTGCCAGATTTTATAGTGATATCTGGAGAAGACACACAGAAAACACTCAGTATAGTACTGATTCTGTCCAGGTAAGCTGCTGTCCCTAGAAGACTGTCTTCTTGTTAATAGAGGATATAAGATGACAGATTTCTGTCAAAGAAAGCTCAATGGGATTGTGGATCTTTACAGCTGGGTTGCAAGGCCAGTGCAAAGCTCAGTAGGCACACAAAAATGCGGTCTGTCTGGGAGTCGTTAGTACAAATGCTTTCAACAGCTGCCAGAGAGCCTCAGCTTGCTATTTGGTTGGGCTGCTACACAAACAGATCCAAAATGACTACACAGATTCAAATGATTGAAATGTAACTGTCTGCGATATGCTGAGTGTTGGCTAATGGTTAGCATTGGTTAGAAGTCATGAATACAGATGAGAGCAAGGCAGCTTTGGCTGCAGCTCCTGGGCTACAGCTGTCTGCAACCTGCTGGGCACCCAGATCAGTGTGCTGCTGGCAGCTAAAGGCTGGCTGGAGTCTGCGGGTCAGAGCCACCTCAGCTGGACTTCCTCCAGGAAAGACCACCAAGCATAAGGTTGAATGGGATTGAGGAACTTATCCTTCCTTGATAAGAGTAATTTACAGAAGCTGGAGGACCCTGCTTCTGCAATCTACATTTGGCCTTCTGGGAATCAGAACCACATTCCTTACCTCTTCCATTCCCCTTCTTCACTAATTTATCACTTGATTTCAGGAGAGAGGATACTTTTTTATTTGCTATACACCTAAGCCCAACTGACAATTGGCTGATAATTAACAAATAATTAGCTTTAAAAAAAAAAAAAATAAAATAATTAGCTGAATGGAGCTCCTTCATTGTTCACAAACTGAGGACCCAAGCTCTTCCAAGAGATGGGATGAATGCATTTCAATACTTAGGGCCTTGCTAGCTCTTCACTCTTGATTAGTTCAGCAATGGCTCTTTCTGGACAGTTTTAGAAGAGAAAAAAATAAAAAAAACAGTGAAAACACTGACCCATTGTTTTGTTATTGCTTCATATAGAAAACAAGCTATAGCCTTTTTTGTTCTCCATTGGGAACATCAAATTGGTGACCTAGATTTCAAACAGCTGAAAGGTATTACTATGTCAGGTATGTTAGATTTACTGTTAATGACACTATGGTTAAATTGCATATGGCATTAATATGGATTACACCTAGTGATGAGCTTCACAATTAATCTCTAGGACAGGTGACCTGGATCTCATTTTAGTCAGGAGAGGTTCCCATACTCTTTTGGCTATTTTTGAGACTAGTTCTAATGAGCTAATCATTATATATACAGTTCATATATGTATACATAAATTCATTTCTGTAAATACAAAGCAGTGTGAAGTGTTCCCCTTATCCATATTACTTGTGGTGATTACAAACAACTGTACTTCTTGTTTGGCATGAAATCCTGTTTGGCCAAATCCTCTCCAGAATGCACCAAGAAAAATCTACAATTTGCAATGGGATAACTTTTGAAGTGCTTTTAGAGGAGGGCTACAAAAATGATCCAAGGGAGGAAATAGGAGGAAATATCTCCCCTACGAGGCAAAGAGGAGAGTTGTGAGGCTTTTCTGCCTGGAGAGAAGGCGGCTCCAGGGAGACCTGAGAGCAGCCTTTCAATATCTAAAGGGAGGCTATAAGAAAGAATGGGACAGACTGTTTAGCTGGGTATGCTGTGATTGGACACGAGGAAGTGTTTTCAAACTAAAGAAGAAGAGATTTATATTGGATATTAAAAAAAAAAAGAAAGTTTATGACAATAAGTCAAGAACTGGAACAGGTTACCCAGAAAGGTAGTGGATATCCCTCACCCCTGGAGACATTCAAGGCCAGGTTGGACTGGGCTTTGAGCAACGTGATCTAGCTGTATGTGTCCCTTTCATTGCAGAGAAGTTACACCAGATGACTTTCAAAGCTCCTTTCCAACTCAAGCAATTCTATGGTTCTATTTATTAAAGCTAAATATGAAATAACCCTTCGCAGAAATATTAATATGTGCTTTCTGCACAAAATTTCAGCCCCAAATGTGCTGAACAGAGATAGCTGCATTTTTCTGACCTTAGCCAGCCTCATAACCTCCCAAGTAATATAATCAATGCTAGAGACCTATATAGATTGCAGCAGCTTTACAGGTTGCAACAGTGCTTCCTTAGGTTCACATTTTTGTCTCCTTTTCTGTCATCCTGTCATCTTTAGCACACTCAACAAGATTTGTTGAGTAGACTTCCCCAAAACAGTTGGGGTATAGTCTTTTCCTGTGTTGGTAGAAGTCTGTTTTTAACTATTTTTATCCCTGATACTTTTCACTTGTTGAAAAGTAGATGATGAGGAAATCAAGCTCTCTTTACCACCTGCAATGGTGAAAACCCAGCCAGACTCATAACGTGTTTGGTTCCAGCATGACTTGCCCATCCTATGTTGTCTCCAATTAATGTATGTTCATGTCACTTATTTTTCATTCATATGATTATGGGGGGAATGGTCCTTTTACCACTGCCTTTATTAGCATACAGAACTCCCACATGAGTACAAGTACTCTCCATTCATTATTTGCTGTTCATCATGTCTTCATTACTTGGCCACATAAAAAGTTATTCCCATCCAGCAAGGGAGTAGCAGTAATAACACAATAACATTTGATCTATCACAAATGGCTACATGGTGAATGTAATAGCTGAAATTAGCAATATAAGCATAAATCCTAGAATAACATCTTTTCCTCCAAAACTATGTGCAAATTAGACAAATATTTGCTAAAATTAGGGTAGTTCAGAAGTAATTCATGAATGAAAACAAAACAAGAACAGAACAAATCAAGTTCATTGAATGATTTACTTGGAAAATGTAATTCTAAGAGCTTTAATGGTCAGTTAAAATGAAAATAATGATGCTTCCTGAACTGCACAACATCTGCTGCATGCATAGGGAAAGAAAATCAACTGTGAGGATAGCATATATTGCAAACATGCAGTTTGTAGCCTAACAGCATAGAACTTCCAAAAGGGCTATGAAGAAGGAATGCAATTACTGGAACTGAGATTAATAATAATTAATGTAATTTGAATCTTAATTGGAAAGGCACTTCCTTAATAAATGTCCCTTGTAGAAGAGAAAGGGACAATATTTAAAAGACTTTTGAAATTTAAAAAAAAAAAAAAAAAGAGAGAGTAAGAAAGTGGATTTACAATCCAGGGCTAGTGCTGAGTTTGCTCCTAGACTTCAGATTATAGGAGATTATCACAGATCAACTCTTTTCACAGAAAAGAACCTTTTAAATCCATCTCAGCATTGTCCTTATTAGGAACGAAGGAGAAAGGCTCCTTCCACAGGGACAAGAGAAGCTCTTAATTCATAGCTTGTCAGAGGAAAGGCGTTTGCTTCAGCACTGAAACAGGTTAGTTATGGCTCTAATTTACACAGCAGTGTGTCATCCTGGTGCAAGGGACAACACCTTTAAGTAATAATGAACAAGTGTGCGTTGACAGAATAATAATCAGGGACTGAAAAGGTTACAGTACAGTGCACGGTAAAGCTAAGTGCCTACTTTCATCCCATTGGGTGCCATAATATCAGGAGTTAGGAACTGCAGTTACTATATAAAATAACATTAGTGAGGCAATTAGGACCTAATGGTTTGTGGAGAGAAGTCTACAAGACTTTATAAAAACATCTGAACTAGACTGTATTCAAGTTTTACCTCACTCCTATTTTCTTATTTTTTTTAGACCATATGGCCTTCTCAAGGGTAGAATCCTCTTAAAATATAGTGAAGAAACACCAGAGACATCAGAGAAACTTCTCAGTATATATGGGTAAAATCTCATTGAAACTTCTGCCAATTAATCCCAAATCCATAATCTGATCTCAGGTACCTAATAATGAAATTACTGACTGCAAAGGAAATGCTAAGTCACGGCTTGAACCAGTGATTGAGCACCTGATGGCAAGGCAGGGCCAACCCAGGGGAGCTCAGGTGTGTGCAATGTACCTGAGTGACCAGAAGGGGTGGAGCCAGGATCCACCCCATCCCAGGCCTCACTTAAGGGTTGGCAGTGGAGGCAAGGGTATCTTACTGGAGAGGTCTGCTTACCTGAGGCCTTCTAAAGGTAAGCAGCTTTTTTTTTTTTTTTTCTCTTCCCCTTCATTTCTCTATCTGCAGCTGCTGCAAACCTGTAGTCAGCAGCTACCTCCAGGGCACAGCCAAGATGTTGAAGGGATGGAGGAGAGAGTTCTGCTGTTTTCAGCAAAAAAGGAGTGAAGTTTTTGCAGCGTTTCATTGACCAGGTGCCATAAGAATGAGGGCTGTGTTTTAAGGCAAATGCTGTATAATAACTCTTCTCCTATGAAACCATGAAGAATCTACCATTGGTTATGTACTTTTTAGCTTTGAGAACATTTTACAGAGGCATCAGTTACAGGTCTGATTGTGCATCAAGTTTGGTTCACGTGGATTTTTCATGACTTTCTTCTCTTCCTTAGTTTGCAGCAGAAGAGTGAAAGTCAAGAGCAATGAGCACGTGACCAGAGCTGGGTCTTTTTAAGTTCATCCCAAACTGGTGCATGGGAATTTGAGTCTTTAACTGCCAAGTTGAAGATCTCCCTCAGATTCACCTTTCAAGAGGTTATTCTGCTCTTCATTATGATTGCTTTTTGGGAAATTTCATCTTTTAAATAGATGTTCACTTTCACATATATATTACCACTCTTTTAAGTGGATGCCTCTGAAGCAGAAGGGATTTATGTATTAAAATGTACAAAGAATTGTACTCCCAACTTTGATCTTGATATCAAGAGAAACAAAATAGACTTGTCCAGCACAATATCTTGTAGATTATTTTATAGTGGAGCTCTGGGGGTTGTCTCCCTAAGAGGAGGAATGTGTATTTGCTGAGTCTCGGGGGAATTTTAATTTTTTTATTGTTTAGACTTCCTTTGCCATTTCTAGGACAACAGTTGAATGCAGTTTTATTTAAATATATCCCTATACAGAAGGGAACCTGATAGAGGGGGCAGAAGATGCAGTTAATTTTCCTGCTTCAGTCCATAACATCACAAGTTTAGTTAGTTTAGTTAGATTAGCTAATTGAGGAAAGCTAAAGAAGTTTGGTGGCCAGAACTGCAATATGCTAGTGGTAGAGGATATAAATTTACAGCTTCCATTTGTGCAGAAATACGGAACTTTTTTTTTTGCCCAGAATATCTGATTACCTGGAGAACTATCCCCAGTCCTTTAGATTAATGCTATACTATGGTTACATAGTACTGAATCCAGTATATTTATATTATCCTGAAAAGCAAGATCTGGTTCATGAATCAAGAAGCCCATGCTAACAAGAGGGACTCTGAAATCATGTTATTCACATGGTTTTCTTACTTAACATTGTGGTTATAATCTTGTCAGGATAAATAGGATGTTTACAGAGCTATCTATGCCTCCTAACTGAAGACAAATAAATAAGATTTACAAAAGTATCCAGAATATTGATTTCACTTTTCAAATCCAGTAGATGATCCATGTAGTCCCTCTGTAACGCTTTAAAGAGTGTCTCCTGGACTCATTTTTCATTTTTCATATAGAAGACCCTAAACAACCTATACTGTTCCTATACAGTAGTCTTTGACTGCTGTTGACATTATTATTCTGTTGGAGCAAAAGATGTTGTTGTCATCCTAGACAGAAATCATAAACAATCTTAAATTATGTATAATGTCTGATTTTGCTCTGAACAACTAATAATCAAAATGACAAACCAGCCTGATCTCAGGTTCAAATGTTATCTCTTTGAAGGCGGTCATCCCATGAGTGACAGACTAAGAAGTGCAGAATCATATGTAAAACAGAATAGTCTGCTCTTCATGGAAAGGAGAGGGTACTTAATTAAGACAAATGGGTGGTCACCTTGAAATTCTTTAGTTTTACAGGCTACTCAGATATCAGATTGATAAGAATTGTATAAGTATGCAAGCAGAATTCACTACATTATTAGGGCTGATGTCTAGCTAAAAAAGATTCAGTAAAAGCATAATTCATTTCATTTGGGTAAATAATGATAGCCTCTTCAGCTCCTCTTGCTGGGTTGTCACTCAACAAGCTTCAGGGCAAGAAATGGGTTCAATGTCAGTAATTCACATCATGAGTTTGCTGTATTTGCTGTCTTTTATAAAGGTCCTATGCTTATATTGATATAACAGATTGTCAGCTTCCATTTAAAAAAAAAAAAAAAAAAAAGTTCTTACCTCTCCTGGCTGAGGCAAAAAAAAAAAAAACAACTAAATTTGAAAATCTGAAGGTAATTCAAGTGCTGACTTTATCATCTTAGTATCACAACATCTTGTGATTAGATTGAAGAAAGTGGAGCTCACAAATTTTGGAAACTTGATATTGTTCATCCTTATCAACCATAAGGACACCACCACATCCTCCCTCCCTCAGAATAAAGCCCAGCTAGCTACAGCCTGTTGCCTTTGTCTTTTACAGCATCTGGCAGAGCTGAGATCCATCTACAGGACTCTGAAAACACAAGAAGCCCTCTAGGACAATCAGTCCTTCTCAGTGCTGGTAGAGAAGCCCATCGCTGCATATTTTCCAAAGGTATATTTAACCCAATTCTGAAAGAGGAGGACAGTAAACCAGCCCATCATTCCTTGCTGTCAATTCACTGACTATCAGCCAACTGTCACAGGCTGCACCTGCATCTCCTCACCTCAGTGAAGACTCACTCATTGTGAAACCACTAACTGGATCACATTCTTCCTCCACAATGAGGTCACAGGATTTTAGAAGACAGAGGAAGGTTTAAGGTTAACCAAGAAGTTTACAAATAATGAGGCAGTCCAGTGAAAAGACACTCTGGCCTCCTATAAGTGGGGGACATTGAAGATCAGGCTCCTGCGTGGGTAGCTGGGAATACCCCACTGAAGACGTGCTGTCCCAGTGTGGGGATGAACAGGCTCAAGCTGCGGGTTGTCTCCTGCACAGCTCTCAGAGCCATCTGCTCTGAATTAGACGGGATTAAAGGCACAGCGTGGGCAAATCCCTTCTGTCTGTTTGTGCAACACAGGTTTATCCCATGTGAAATAAGGCTTAGAGGCAAGGGCTGCCTTTCTCACATGCAAGGGAAGGTAGTTAACAACCAGAGCTTCTAATGCTAGATAAAAGAACACAACCCTGTAAGTGAGATATGGCACTTCAGCGGGTCTTTGTTTTGATAGCCTCTGTACAGAACAAAACAAGACAGAGCAGGCAGCAAAGGCTCCATGTGAGATTCTCTGCAGGCAAAGAAAGTCACAGGCAGGAAAAATACAATCCATACAAATAGCACTGGATTCACAATCACTCTGTGGAGTGAAAAGGTATGCAAGGGGAACAGGGAAATCTGAGATCATCACATCTCTAAAGAACACAAATACCCATTTCCTTCTTCTCTAGGTGCTTGTCTTGCAAGTATGCAACAAAAAATAAAAACTGTAGAACCAGCCTATTATTAAGACAGTTTCAGGACCTGTACTTTTTGTTCTGCTGTATTTCTGCCCACAAACTGCCCTATTAGATGCTGTCCTGATCCCAGCTATGCTTAACCACCATCAGCCAAGTCTGAGAGGGCAGCTGGTAGCAGTAGGTGTGCTCACGATTTCCATGCCTATAAAATTCCCCTTTGGTGGAGGTAGTCTCCCCTTCTCCTATTCAAAACAGCTGCTAGTTCTGTGTTAAAGATGCCCACTTCAGTGAACGAAACACAATGGAATGCGTAAGGGAAAGATCAAGTAAGATACATTTTACACAGACATGCTGAACTCATATTTTATAAAAATACATTCTCAAGTGAAGACAAGTCTCACACCTACTTCTTCAAATAATATACAGAAGTGAAAGCACTTTTCCATGGTATTTCCACCTGCCTTGGTTTTATCAGTATTCCATGTCATGACATCATGCAACAAGCTGTCCTCTAACAGGGGAATGGAAGGGTGAAAGGGGCCTTCCCCCAACTGCCTTTTCCTCTTGTGCATGAAACCATGACACCACTCACAGTTCAATTATTTAAAAATGAATAGGAGCAAAGGAAGGGGAAATGGAATGGAAGAGAATGGAGTAAGGTTGGAACAAATGAAAATTAAAAAGAGGAGAATGGGAAAACTAGTGAGAAAGAAGGAAAAATGCCTTCTCTTATCACATTCTGGACAAAAAGAAACATTTATCAGTGAAAACATATCATTGTAATACCAGCAAGGTTAAGTGACAGGCACAGCTTCAAGGAAATTTCAAGCAACATGATATTGGCCTCTTTTACGAGAGTGAAAATTACAAGCAACTACAGACAGTGAAATTATTCTAGGTGTACTCTTGGAGATATTATATTGACTAGAACAAGAAGAACTTTTTTGACATTTCTTTTCAGAAAATACTGATCAATAAAATAAAATAAATTATATAAGCAGGCCATTCTGTTTGAGCTTTTTTTACACAATTTTTTAGGAAAATATTGCAGAACTGTCAAAACAGAGCATTTTATCTTCTTTTCAGAAATAGAACATATAGTTTTCTTTTTCTTTTTTTTTTGTGAAATGGAATACAATTCAAGAACTAAGCATAAATTAAAGAACAGTTTTACGCAGCACCTCAGTTGGAAAGGAATGGTATTTTTTTCAGTATCTAATTTTCATAGAAGAAATTCCCTTCCTACCCATTATTAATAAAAACATCTGTATAGCTAATCAAACTTTTTTTTTCAACATCATTGACATAAAAAAAAAATGCCTTTTTTTGAAAAGCTCTAGTTCTATATGCCCTTTTGTCAGCCACATAGCATCTTTTGGCAGACAAGTTGCCGTGCTATTTAGTTTGTTTATGCTGCAAAGCTTAATAGAAACAATATATTTAATGTGTTTTGGCTGGTCCACACATCGAGCTTTTCTGTATGTAATATAATTACGCCACTGCAAAGCTGTGCAGGCAAATACTTTAACTATGATATTCAGATTTTATGATTCGTGTGGCAGACATTGTCTTATTTTATTTCTATATGGGCTCCAGTGGTGGTACTACACAGGTTTTCCTGCACACTACTGCAATACGAGTTAAGTGCATTACCTGATAGAACATGGAGACAATTCTGTTGTCATATTCCAGCCAAATTCTTAGAATACTCCTGGAAATGATCAACAAAACATTTCTGATTCTATTCACATTCTGGATCTCTACTTGTAAATCAAGCAAGTATATTTTTGAAAATATTTCTTATATTTCTGTTAAAAAGGAATGAATGATTTGCCCAAGATATTTTAATAGCATACATGGCATTGAGATCATCTGTAAGTAGGACAGATAAGGTCAAATGATATTGCTTACAGAATAAAGCAGACTACATACTGGATCAGAGCAACGTCTGTCTAGCCTTGCTATATCATCTCTGACAATTTTAACAGCAGTTTCACAGAGGCTCTGTCATTATAAGCTAAATATAGCCCTCTTCTTCAGTTTCACAATAAACTCTATTCATCAAGGTCTCTCAAGGCCTAGCTGAAATCACCAGTAAGCAACTTACTGGAGTTTATTTACAGGATAAAAAACAAAACAAAACACATGCAAGATCTTCTGGCTAATAGACAGAAGAAAAATAAAGGGAAGATTGGCTTGTCTTTTCTACTGAGCTCTACTTGTGGCCAAGATTGAAAGTTTCCGTGGTCTGCTACTAATTCCATTACCTGGCAGTTCATAATGATACAGTCAGTCATCCGTTACTTAAGACAGATGACTGTTCTCAACACCTCTTAATAAAATTAAGACACTCCTTTCTGGAGGTCTTACTTAATTACTAATCTCATGATATCTTTGTAATCTTCTGATTTACCTTCTCCTGCTTATTTCTCTGATCTGGCTGCTCTTCTGAATGCTGACTGGTAGGTGGCAAAATGATACTGTTGTCACTACCAATTACTCCTGGTAGGGAGTCCAGCCAAAGGCTGTCGTGGACCTAATGAGGTGTACCCAATCAGGAGAAAAATGCAGCTCCATTTCCATCCCCTGGTGGTAACTTAGTTTGTAAAAGTGATCAATTCTTGGTTAGGTTAAGAAGAGGAAAGAAAGAAACCTGCATAATTACCCTGTGTGATCTCCTGCACAGCTGAGGTGGGGAGCTGGCAGCCAAGAGAAGTACAAAGAGATCCACAGGCTGAGAGTCCTTAAACATGCTCTGCCTCTGAGATAGAAGCATCTGTCTTTCCTATTTAATACATTATCCCAAACAACAAGGGCATTAGACTTGATTCTAAACTTAGAAAAGCAATGAAAAAATCCTACTGCCTTCAGGAAGAGCAGAAGTAAATGCTTTCACAGGACACAGTGCTGCTACATGCTCTTTAGATGAAGACAGAGAAGGAGTAATGTTTAGGAAAAGTATAAGATATAGAGGAGCAGAAAACTTAGACTGGGATCCATCTTACCTACTTTTAGCCATCTAAAACTTAAGTGTCTAATGCATATCAGTCATTTAAGCTACCTCTGTAGCCATTGTGCAGAGACAGATGCACTTCAGACAGCTGATTAATCCTTCCCACTCTACCAGCAGCATATAAGAGTGTTACTCATACAATTAAATATGATGCAGACTCCCATAAATAGATCATATAATCTCTCTGGGTGGCCACCTGCAACAAGAATGGTGAAATTCTTTCTGGCACTCCCCAAAATCTGTCTCACTAACAATCACTGTACTCTTTCCAACACATTCTGCTGGTTATATATTAGTCCTCATTATTTGGGGAATATATTAACACTGTCAAAGGACCTTTGACAGTGGATTACTTTATGCAAAAGATGTTTAAACGTGAAAGTAATGCAGAAACATATGGGAAGAAGCAGGTAGATATGTGTAGAAGGTAAGAAACAGCTTGCTTTTTTGGCTCTCCATGTCAGCTTCGATCTATCCTGGCAAACTACCTATTGGCACTTGAAGTTTTGACTGTGCAGGTTTGCCCAGTTCTCCTCTCAAGCTGAAATTCACTATGTAGGGAGAAAACAACAAGAAAGCGTGACACAACCCACATAAAGAGACATACATTCTTGACTTCCATTATCTCCTGCAGGAAGAAAAGTCAGGAGGAATTTGACAGAGGTGTGTTTGTCTTATTCAAAGTAAAAAACTTGCTTTGCAGTAAATCACATTTAGTATAAGTTAGCCTTTACTGACTAGTACAGTTGCTCAAAAAAATGTTGCATATAGGATATTGAGATAGGATTATTAATAAACAATGATTTTTAGTGGGTTCAGGAGGTGAAGGCATGTACCAACTTCAAAGTTCCAAAAGGCATTAAAAATAAAAGACATAGAGGAAAAGCAAGACAAGACAAAGCTGTCTCTGTGGATAGCTGGGAATCATCACCAAGACAGCATTCACCTCTGTGGTCTCTATAGCATAGCAGATTGTGACAGTGGTAGTGACAAACCACTGCCATTCTTGTCTGCGAGCACTCTGTACTTTCATCAAGATGTGCTCAAGATGCTGTGGGTTGTTCCCATTCATGATGAATTTTTTGCCAACAAGATCATGTTTAGATGGGCATAAGCATTACATTTGGGCTGGTGCTAATGTTCTGTGATTGAATTTCACTAGAACAGGTGTCTAGATGACCTCTGCTGCTCTAAGTTTTGAGTTCTGTTAATGTAAACTAAAAGATAGAAAATGGGGTATAGGAAAGGGGCAAGAAAGGGTGACTCCCAATGTCCCTGGTGAATGCATCCCATGAGAACCATCCATACAGTCAGTATAAGGGCTTGCAGGTGCAAGGCTGTGAGGAAAACCATGAGAAACAAACAGCAGGAAACAACAAGGGAAAAAAATTGCCCTGACAGCTCTAGAAAGCCCTGCCACAAGAGCCTGAGTGAACAGCTGCAGTGAAGCTGCAAAGTCAGACAGCAAAGCAGCAAATGGAAGTGCTTCACAGTGATTACAAGGCACTGTGCAAGAACAGAATGTGTTTTGGCTAGATATTTCTCTATTCCAGAATCTAGAAAAACAAAAACAACAAAAAAAAGCCCTACCAAATACACTGTTTACAGCTTTGAAAACACTGCTATTTGGCTTCCAAAGTTTCCAAACAACAAATGTTTGTATTTTCAATTAAATTGAATTGACAAAAGTGTCATCTTTTCTTTCCCCTGGAATTAATTTCAAGTGTATTTTACAACTCTTTTATTTGTTTAAAACAAAATGAAAACTGGAAAAAAATATTTGCCATTTTCATTTCCATGCTTAAAATCAAATCGTTGAGCTGAAATCAGCTCTAATGGAACAGCTTTTCTGAAGAGAATATTGTTACAATGTGACAACATTGAATCATCTCTTTGAAGTTTATTCTCTGTAAACTTTTTTTTCCCATTTACCTGTTTTTCCCTTCTTACTTCATCTCAACCATCTGCACAAGACCTTCAAATATGAACTTACCTCTTTATAAACAGACATCCTGCTCTTTGCTAGGTTATTCCTTTTCTTCTACTAATGTTCTCACACCATCCATCTTGTCAAATTGCCTCTACTTTGAAGCTCGCTTATCTTCTCTTCTTCAATATGTCCAAGGCAAACCAACTGGCATACATAATAGAGAAAAACCTGCCTACATGTGTCACTGAGACAGAGGTTCTCTAATTCTCATGGGAAATCTAAGATTGCCTTCTCACCTTGAGGAATACTCTGCTTTATGCAGTCCTTTACCTCATCCTCATTGGGATGGGCGTCTTCACCCAGTGCAGAGCTCAGCTCACCAGATCTACTATCTTTCTTTGTAAGCTAAGTGGCAAAGGTTTGCTATTCTGAGCCATTCAGATTTTTCCCCATCATATCACTAGAGAGGTGACCATTAGTTAGTAAGTCAGGACATCACAGTTGAATTAAATTATTTTGACCTCAATAAATAATTAAATTCTCAAGCACTTCATGGAACGCAAAATTCCACTTTGCTCAGAAGGAGAACAAAAATTCAAGGCTCAGGCAAGTCCTCTGATGTCTGTGTATTGTATATTGTACTCTGTCAGTGGAACCCTGTTCATAGAGAGCTGAAAACAATCCCACGATTGAGACCTAAGATCATGCATTTCTAGAACAGCTTTTCTTCCATGTTACTTCACAAACATTCCAACTCTTCAAATGTATTTTCCCAAATTTCTTTTGCTGGACTCAGAGAGTAAGGAGAAGACATAATAATGTTTCTACTCCTATCAAAAACATTCAGTCATCATCAATCACGAGTCAGCTAAACTGACCATAATCCATTATGAAGGTGTAATTAAGTAAAACCCACCTCTCAGCTCCTAGAAGCGTGCTTGTTTTTTAAACAACACATTGCAACAAACAAACAAACAAAAAGCCACACAAAAAAAACAAAAACCAAAGAGCCCTGGAGATTTCCAATTAACAGACACTGCATTCCTCTGTGCTCAAAGTTTTAAATGTTTGTTGGGATTACAAACTATGCACACAGTAGCAACATTGCTGATGCTGACCTTGCAAAACACAGCTCTGTGCTTTATGAATCAATCATCACAGCCTGGAGCAGAGAGAAAATAAGCCTGCAGAGAAACCATCGGGAGAGAAAGTGAATGAGAAGTATTTGCTGTATATCAGGACAGTGATTCCAAATTAAGCAGAATTTGTTGGTTTCCCCATAAGGCAAAACACCGAAGGCAGGAGAAGCTCAGACATAGAAATAATCACTTTATCTAGAAGATATTAGGAATTAGAACATCATAAAGCATCAGATGACCTCAAGAACTGAAGGGAAGAAGGAAAATTTTTAATCCAATTCATTTAGACCAGTAAAAAGGGTACACATGAGCTGGTCCTCAGTTTCACCTCTGAGCAGCAAAGCAAGAGGGTCCAATGAGCCCCCTGCTCAGTCACCATAATATTGCAACAAATGCAAGTAACCCTTCTGCAATTCTGAAGCTGCCTGATTTACCCCTCCCAATCATAATGTAGGAAATGCTTCCACATTTTTATGCTTGTACATTTTCCTATTCTAGCTGGTGTTCAGATGGACTCGCAAGAGCAGCCTTAAATGAATTAGCAGGAAAACCGTTCTGCATGCTTGGAAGATCAGAAAGAAAATGCAGAAGAGAAAGATGCACATTAATACCATGTTTGGTATAAACAGAAAACTGTCATTTTCTTTTCATATCCTCAGTGACTCTTATGGGGTAAGATAAAAGAAATTTATAAATAACAGGAAAACAGGCATAATATTCTTGTGAAAAGGAACAGCATGTATATTTCCCGTGTAAAAATATTATATCTGAAATGAACATAAAATACCCTTACCTCTTATAGATAGGAAGCTCCTACAAATATGAAGATGCACATCACAGGAAAGTGTTAGCAGCTGTGTGGTCAAATATGTAACATCACACCTGGGATTTATTTACATCACAGTTGTGGAACCAGCACCATTGATAGAACATTCACTTGCTCCCATGTGTTTAGGAAGTTTAGAGGCAATCAAAACTGGAAGAGATAAACAGGAACAGGTTGTTTAAAACTGAAGAATGCATACACAATATGTAATAATAACACAAACTTTGCAGGTTGAAATGTCTTAACTTACAAATTTTAGAACGGTTTTGAAACATTAATGTGTGCTTAATTTTCCCAATATTCTTGTGACATAGTTAAGTTCCGCTTTAACCTTATTTTTCAGGTAGAGAAAAACAGGTATAACTGATTTGGTGAGTATTGCCAAGAATGAATCCATCTCAGTTCATAATTCATTTCCAGAGCAATCTGTAGGTTCTTTAGTTTTGTCAGCTGCTGAACAGTCAATCTTTCTGATGAAGGTTTTAAAATATGAACGAAAGAAGACCGATAGTAGAAAGCAGCAGAATACATACTTATTTCTTTGTGAAATAATTTAAGCATGAATTCAATCAAATTTAATTAAAAACCTAATTATATCAGTGGTCCAGTTCTCCTTTCTGCAGAAAAGTGATAAACAAAATATCCTTGATTTCTGCCCAAAGGGAATTTTCAGATTATCTAAACCGTCACATAAGCAAGGGTTCTATCAGGCAGCCTAACAAGTAGATAACATTCATTGTACTTCATATGTATTATCTTGCATGGTAAAGAAAAGGCTCTAAATTTTTATGTAGTCTTTGTTCCAGAAGTAAAAATGTTATTATGCAATCACAATATCTGACACATTGAGAACACATGATCACATCAGTGTATTTTAATGTATTCACACTCCCAGATAGTTAAGATCTTCCTCCTTCATTTTAACTAATTCTTGGTGCAGCTCTTGGGCTGGGGATTCAAATAATCTTTCTCTTAGAAGTTCCCTTCAATGTACGCCTCAGCAACTCATAAAATCAGACAGCAAATATCATGGACAAAGCACCATTTCAAGTGAATTGACATCAATTCTGTGAGGTTTGTGCGCCATGCAATACTTCAATTTGTTTCACTCAAATATTAATATCTGTTTTATTTTAACATCCGTTTACAGAAGTTTACATTCTGGGAAAGCATTGAAGTGTCAATCAACAGTTCACACAACCTCTCTAGTAGACAAGCAACATCCAAAAGAAATGTGTAAATTGGAGCATCTAGTCACTTACTCTGACAGGTATTCTTCTCATTGCTTTGTTACTAATGAACGTAAGAGTCCTACAGAAGCAAGTGCTGGCAAGGTCACTCTGTCATTTTTGAAGAGTTGTGGCAGTTGAAAAAGGTCTCTAATTACTGGGGAAAAAAAAGCAAAAAAAAAAAAAAAAAGCAAATATTACAGCTATCATCCAAAAAGACAGGAAGGAAGAAACATCAACGTTTATCTGTTCCAGTCCACTAAAAAAAAAAAAAAAAAAAAAAAAAAAAAAAAAAAAAAAAAAAAGAGAACAAGAAGTACAGAAAACAAATATCCAAACACACACCTCAGCTCTCAGGGCACTGAATGGCTTCAGATGGATTCATGAAAAGACTTAGCATTCAAAGATGTGATTGGTCAGTTTACTTTCATCATTCTTAATGTATACAATACTTTATTTTCTTGGCTCATCTATGCAAGTCTACCAAACAAGGCTCATGTATTCCCTAGTACAAATAGAAGTGTAAAGGACAATTGCTGAGCAAGAGGGACTCATTTAACAGAAGACATATCTGAATCTGGTATAGAGCGGTTCGGGAAGTTGTATATCCCTCATTTGCCACAAGGTGGAAACAATCACAGGAACTCATCTCAGTAACATAGCTGTAACAATTCAAATGTAGCAGTTAAATACCATATGTTGTACATAGGAATGCAGATGCAGCTGATGACTTAGAACAGCTTCTAACAGAGCACGTGATATGGTTTTAAATACGTTCATGAATGCTTTTTTATACCAAATAGAACAGCATGGCTCTTTAGTGCTGTTCCAATCTATTACTTAAGCAACAAAGTAGTTTTCTAAAATGTATAGTAAGGCTTGTATTTCTTAATAAACTAGATAACTATAAAGAGTCAGTGCACTAATGAAAAGAACTGGAACTCAGATCCCAAAGTTTTAGGTAGCTAACACCTACAGTTATTTATCTCTCAGAAGATTCTGAATGGGTCATTTAGGATATAAACTGTGCTTCTGTGTTCAGGTCAGAGTCTCGCTCTACTACATCACTAGTTTAGAAATATTTTACAATGATCAAAGACAAACTATGTCTCAAAAGACAATCTTTTCATGGTGGAGAGAGGAAACAGCATAAAATAAAGCCCTGTGCAATTTGATGTAGGGAAGTTGGACTCAATGATCTCCGGTGGTCCCTTCCAACCCCTATGGTTCTGTAATTCTGTCATTTTCCTCTGCAGAATTACTGACTCAAAGAGAAGAATTTAGTGAATTCTCCTGTTCCTCCCAAATTCAGGACAAGCTATAGTCAGTGGTGTGAGTTGCAGTAGTGAAGTTTGCTGCTGCTGAACCAAGTAAGCTACTTCTATGTTCTCCTTATACTTACTTGATGGAAAAATATAAGACTGTTTCTTAAATGTGCTAATTCACCAGTTCTACAATATAGAATCGTAGAATCATAGAATCACAAGGTTGAAAACGGCCTACAAGATCATCTAGTCCAACTATCCTCCTATTACCGTTGCTACAACAAGCACTAAACCATCTCTTGTAGCTCCTCATCCAGACACCTCTTAAACACTACCAGGGATGGTGACTCTCCACCTCCCTGGGCAGCCATTCCAGTGCCTGACCACCCTCTGAGAGAAAAGTTCTTCCTTATGTCTAATGTAAACCTCCCCTGACACAACTTGTGGCTATTTCCTTGGGTCCTGGTTATTGCCTGGGAGAAGAGGCCAAACCCCTCCTCATCACAACCTCCCTTCAGGAAGTTGTAGAGAGCAGTAAGGTCTCCTCTGAGCCTTCTCCAGACTAAACAATCTCAGCTCCCTCAGCCGCTCCTCGTAAGACTTGTGCTCCAGACCCCTCACCAGCTTCATTGCCCTTCTCTGGACACATTCCAGGGCCTCAATCTCTTTTTTTGTAGCCAGGGACCCAAAACTGAACACAATCCTCGAGGTGCAACCTCACCAGTTCTGAGTACAGAGGGAAATCTGCTCCTCCCTGCTCCTGCTGGCGACACCATTTCTAATGCAGGCCAGGATGCCGTTGGCCCTCTTGGCCACCTGGGCACACTGTCGGCTCATGTTCAGCCGAGCATCAACCAACAGCCCCAGGTCCCTTTCCTCTTCACAGTCTTCCAGCCACTCATCCCCAAGCCTGTAGCGTTGCCTGGGGTTGTTGTGGCCAAAGTGCAGGACCCAGCATTTGGCCTTGTTGAACCTCATCCCATTCACCTCAGCACAGCGATCCAGCTTGTCTAGATCCCTCTGAAGGGCTTCTTACTCAATCCCTTCATCTAGATCATCAATAAAGATATTAAACAAGACGGGCCCCAGTACTGACCGCTGGGAGACATCACTTGTAATCACGGGTCGCCAGTTGGACTTAGCTCCATTAACCACTACCCGCTGGGCATGGCTCTCTAGCCAGTTCCTTACGCAAAGAAGGGTATACCTGTCCAGGTCATGGGCAGCCAATTTCCCCAGAATACTGTGAGAGACCATGTCAAAGGCTTTGCTTGAGTCTAGGTAGACTACATCAACAGCCTTTCTGTCGTCTACCACTCTGGTCACCCAGCTGTAGAATCACAGAATCACAGAATTGTAGGGGTTGGAAGGGACCTCCAGAGATCATCGAGTCCAACCCCCCTGCCAAAGCAGGTTCCCTACAGTAGGTCGCACTGGTAGGCATCCAGGCAGGTCTTGAACATCTCCAGAGAAGGAGACTCCACCTCCACCACCTCCCTGGGCAGCCTGTTCCAGTGCTCCGTCACCTCACTGTAAAGAAGTTCTTGCGCACGTTTGTGCGGAACTTCCTATGTTGCAATTTCCAGCTGTTTCCCCTTGTCCTGTCTCCACTCACCACTGAAAAGAGTCCGGCCTCGCCATTCTGCCGCCCACACCTTAGATATTTATAGACCTGGATCAGGTCCCCTCTCAGTCTTCTTTTCTCAAGGCTGAACAGACCCAGTTCACTCAGCCTTTCTTCATAGGGGAGATGCTCCAGGCCCATCATCTCCAGGAGATGAGGTTGGTCAAGCAACCTGCCTTTCATGAACTTGTGCTGGCTGGGCCTGATCCCCTGGATGCCATGCACATGCTGTGTGATCTCACCCAAAATGATTTGCTCCACAGCTTTCCTTGGTACCAAGGTCAGGATGACAGGCTTGGTACCAAGGTCAGGATGACATCCTTTCCCAGATCCTCCTTATGGCCCTTCTTGTAGATGGGAGTCTCAATATTCATATTAGAATGAGGGAAAGTATATTATTTGACACAAATTGATCAAAAGCTATGAAATCTTCTCTGTTACACCTGTCATGCTCCCACTCCAGCTCAGCCTATTTGCACCTTTTTATCCAGCTATTTGCGGGTACTTCCTTCTCCTCCTTTTAAGTGGCATGACAGTAAAGGACTTTAATCTGAGAATTGTGTCCTGTTTGTATTTTAAAGCAGCTGACATTTCCAGTACAACACTTGTGGTGTTTATTACATATGGGAACATTCCCTCACAAACCATTATGTTGGCCACAAATGAGCTAATTGGAGCATTCACAAAAATATCCGTAGCTTCAGAAATGCTCATTTTTTTTAGGCCTTATCTGCTTCAGGGCTAACATCAAGCCAAGTCTTGCAGCACTGTAGCACAAGTTCTCCAAGTTGCTCTTGGCATTCCAAGCCCTGCACAGCTGAGGCCTGCTCACAACATAGTTATGTCTTGTAAATAATTGACAAGAGAGACATACGTTGGCAAATTCTTTTCTGCCACTTTGCCATTCCTCTCCAGATATCTCACATTTCTTACTCAGAGGGTTTCCAAATGGAACTGCACAGTAAATGCACTCTCTGTTGTTTCAACTTATGGCCCTGTGATTAATCAATGTCATTGTCTGGGAACTGGGGAAAGCTGCCGGACCCTTCTGTGCAGAGCCGAGTAACTGTTTGTTTAGTCTGCTCCCATAAAGTAAGCGGGGAAAATTATGACAAGACACTAACAAGATTTTCTGTGCTTCATTTTCTGAGTGTCAGCTTTTCCCAAGCAACCACTCACATAAAACCAGAACTAAACCTTACTGTTGCAGGATGCAAGCGAGCAGCTTTACATTTAGCATTGGCAGTGGGTCTTGTCATTGCAGCATGTGGGCCAGCAACTTCCTAGGGCTAGGAGCGCTTGGAGCTGTGGGTGTGCTGGACTGGTGGAGGGCACCAAGGCAGCTGGTTAAAAGCCAGACCAGCTGACGGGAACAACAGCTGAGCAGGGCTGTGGGGAGCCTTGCTCTGATGCAGCCTTGGTGGGACAGGGGCTAACAGCCTGAAGCCCTGTGCAATGTAGGAGGAGCTGGGCAGGGCCCAGGTAAATAATTCAATGCTGCAGCAAAACTGTTGCAAGGCCATGATCCCTCATATTGGCTTGTCCAGGCATGTCAAACATACAGCCCATGGTCTACACATGGTCCAGCACTGCTTGCAATGCGGCTGCCCTCTGCCATCACAGCAGCAACTCTTCCCCATCAAACACCTGGCCCTGCCCAACTCCAGGCATGCACCCATCACTCAATAATAAGCAAACATCAGTGCGCTATTAACTCTAATTTGGCTGAAACTGGGGCATGGGTTGTAGTACAATACAAACTCAAACTATGGCAAATAATTGTATGTATTTTGATACATGGGCTAAGCATAGTCCTGTGAACAGTGAAAAACACGCAGCCATGCTTTTTAGTTTTGATAAAGGAGTGCGAGAATAGGTTTCAAGATTGCCAAAATGCCTTTTTCTTTTTTTTTAATATATATACCTGCAACTCCATTTTCAGTCAACATAAATACATCACTTGCATATTTTCAAATGTAATGTATGGATACACAATCAAAAATTTGGTCATGCCTCTTTACCAGGCTTGGCTGGCTTTCAGCCAAGAAACACAGCTTCTAAGCTTTCTCTTACCAGAGAGAAATAACCCTCACTTCACAGTCATGCCTTTTTCACATCATTGCTTTTGGCAGTACATATATTTGTGAACAACTATTTTGAAAGATGAAGCACAGGAAGAGTAACATTTCATCAAAAATCTCTGATGAACACATTGAGAATCCATTAAAAATTGTAACCACTGCCATCAAACCAGCCTGATATGGAAGA